TGAATACAGCTTCTAAATTAGGCTGTGGAGAGGAAATGCAGCCAGCTTGGAGGAAAACGCCTACATACATAAACTCTGTTTTGCAGCTCGTGCAGTAGGATGAAGCAATCTCCTTCACTTTAACTCCCTGAAGTTGGTCAGGGCATTTTAGTGCTGCACTGGGAGAGCTCTGCAGCTGGTGGTAGCAAAGGCTTATTGAAAATGTGAGAGGAACCTCACTAGGCCAGGTAACCATTTACCCAGTGAGCTCGGAGAACACATGTCAGATTTATTAGAGGAAAGTGCAGTGAACAAGGTACTGCATTTTTTTTGAAACCTTGAGTCCCTCTGTCCAGTTGTTCTTAAATCAGAATTTGATATTGCAGTGGAGGAACGCTCTGCTACCAAGGAGAGTTCCAAACTGCTCCCAACTCTTCAGCTGTTGCCACCTTCTGATGAAACCTCAGTCAGCAGTTTGAGTGTTTTTGGCAGGGAGAGATGGGGAAGAGTCTTTAAACTAACATGCCAAGTAGCCTTAAAAACACTTTTATTTTTGATTGCTTATAAACATGAATTCAAACAATCTCTTCCTGACATTGCAAGTCACTCCATCTGCAGCTCTGCCAACACCACAATCTCTGACCCACACCTGCCATACTGTAGCCTCTGGGGGAAAGGTTGTCAACCAGGCCAAACTGTGTGGAGAAGAGAAATAGCAACTAGACACCAGGAAGCACACCTGTACCTGTGCTGCCCCAGGCATAGCTTTCTTTGCTGTTAATCTGTAAATCCATCATTTAACTCCAAATAGTGGGTAATAGTCAGTGGGGCCTGTTCAGAGCATGGCAACCTCTATTACTCAGTGCTGTGGTTTGAGACATGTCATGGGTCCTAGTATGTGCTCTGCGTGGATTACAAGCTAGCTGTATGATTCAGGGAAGCAAGATGGAAAACTGGCCACCTGCTGGAACACTAGGCTTCTCATAAATTGCTAGTGCATTCATTTCTCTGCACCCCCTGCCTGCAGACTGAATGACATACTTCACCCCTCTTCTCCGGTGTGCAATTAAAACTTGATAGTAGTGCCCTGCTGGAGTACTCCTTTCACCAGTCTGCATTCCAGTCAAGGCTGGGATTATTTGAATAAAGAATCCCTACTGAAAGGAGACAGAAGCAGTGAGGAATAAATGACTACAGAAAGGGGAAGCTAGCATTGAAAACCATGGAGCCTTGTCTTTAGTTCTAGCTAGAGCTGGCCTGGTTCCTGCAATATGCTCCTCAGCCATAAACTCCACAGCCACCTAGACAGATTATGATACATGGTGTGCTAGTTCTGTACAAAAATGCCCAAAGCTTTTTGAGGGCTCTGGGTTGTCCTGTTGATGATGGTGAAATGTTTGGATTTGTGCACACAGAAAGCAGAAGATAACCTAACTGAATTGGGTTAAGATCCTGAATGACAGGGAGCTGTATGTAGACCAGTGTGAGCGCATTCTCCCTGGATAAGTAACAGCAAGTTTGGATAACCAGAGGAAAAATACAACCCCCCACTTCCCTCAGCAGTATTTCATCTCTTGTCTAACCTGTAGTTGTTCCTAAAGAACTTCTGGTTTTGTTGCCAGTCTATGGACAATGTGGAGACACTAAATTACATAAGAGCTCTTTATTCACAATCTAATTAGTCCCAGAAGCTGGACTTTTGGAACTGAGTGGACAAGATCATTTTTACAATTGGCAATATCACATGGGTAAATTTAGCAGAGATCATTTAGGGAGGGGCTTGTCTATTATAGGCAGGTACTACGAGCATTTAAAAAGCATTCACCGCCTCAATATATTTTTCTTCTCCAGAACCCTACCAGTATAGTTGATCCTTCAGTGTTCCTCCATGATGTTCTTTAATATTAGGGAGGTGGGTCTGGTAGCTACGAGCCCTGTCTTAAATTTAAGGGATGGAGTTGGGTTCTAGAATCACAAAGCAGTTTCTGTATCACTGTTAAAATTAAGTTCTAATCAATATACCTCCCCCTGTTCTTATTGCCCCAATCCTCTTCAATCATGCCAATATCCAGGTCAGTGGGACTCGCTGGTTCTTGCATGGTAGCACAGTGCTGCACTGTTGGGGTTGCAGACAGCAATGTTTAAATATAAGCTTTTTTTATTGGGATTCAACTTCATGGAGCCACTTCTCATGCTTCTAAATTTGGGGGAGTCCTGTGCCTCTTTAAACAACATGACCACACTGACAATCGGCGTACAAACCCTGTATCTGTCAGCTAGAGGCAATGTTACTTCCGCACTCCCACTAAGGTGGACCTAGTGGGGAAGTCAAAGCTGTTCTCATCTGCAGGCTCTGTGTTTAAAAATAAAGAGTTTTGCAGATGTGGGGGGTCAGCCCAGCAGGAGGTAACCGTTCTTGCTAGACAGTAAGAACAGCTTCAGAGTTTCTAAAGGGTAATTGCAGTAAACCAAGTAGTTTGAATGTGCAAGCTGGCAAAATGCTAATCTCAACACTGAAATGGTTTCTAGAAGTCTACCTTCAAGGTGAATCTCTACAGAACAACTCCAACCCCATCCTGCTTTCTACAGGTGCACAGAGATTCTGCATTGGTATTTCCCAAACCTCTGGATTTAGTTTGAAGAAAAGCAAATGGAACATCTCATGCTCCTAAATGCAGGATGTGGTCCCTACACCAACCCCCAAGCAGAAGGCAGAGCTGTGGGAAAAATGCCTGTTGGAGTTGAGGTTTTTCTTTTAAAAAGGGGAGGGAGGGAAGAGAACATTCCTTGTGCTGGTGTGTGTTAATTGAAACACAGCAGACACTCCTTTTTAAAAACCAGAGGAATGAGAACCTGCAATGCAGTGTAATTGTAGTATTCATAGATTGGGGGAGGGGGCAGCAGGGGGAGAGAGAGGGTGATTCATCTGTCAGCATGTGAGGGTGGGGAAGGTGGCTGTGCTTTCCCTAGCCTGGAACTGCCGGGGAGGATGTACACCTCACTGAAGGTCAAGGGAACTGTCACAGCTGATCCCACTTGCACCCTGCTTGCAATAGCCCCTATGCACTGCTGGGGAATGGCTGTCATGAGAACCCTCTCCTGTGACCAGGCCTCCAACAGCACTCTCTCTTTCAGGGGGTGTAGAACAGGCCCTATCCCTGCCCAGGTTCTTCCTTAGGGCTGCCTTATGCCTGTTTTGGGACCCCAAAATGGACATCATGTAAGCAGAAAATCCCTTCTGCTTCATATCTATCTTCAGTTGGGTAGGGGTTTAAAGCCTAGTGTTAGGATTTGCCTCTGTTCGTTCGCTTTCTGGCCCAGACTTGACACTATACATGAATAGGCTGATATGTACCACTTCTAGATGTACTGGACTAGACCACTTAGATGAAGTGGGTATTCACCCCGAAAGCTTATGCTCCAATACGTCTTTTAGTCTATAAGGTGCCACAGGAGTTTGTCACTTTTTACAGAGCCAGACTAAGACGGCTGCCCCTCTGATGATGCTTTGTCTTTAGTGCCAGTGGCCTCTGCTTTTGGAACAGGAGAAACTGGGTTCTGACCCTAGCAAGACAAGAATTGAGTAGTGGACTGAACTTCAAGTGACCTGGGTTCAAGTCCTATCTCAGTGAGACTTACTGTGTGAGTTAGGCAGGTTACTTTATTCTGTACTAGTTTTTATCACCAGGGGAGAACTGTGTGCAACAGAGGACTTTGTTTTGGGTTTTTTCTAAATGTCCTCTGGCTGTAGTAGAGATCGCAGCCTGTAGAAGTGCACCTGGCAGTTGGAGTGGAAGAGGGTGAGGGTTGGGAAAGTCCCTCCTTCCTCAGGCAGTTCACGCTAGAGGCTCAGAGCAGCCACTGCGAAAGCTCTTGTTTTCTACATCCATGAGCTTACCCTTCTGGCTGAAAAAGTTCCATGGACCTGCTGGCCACAGGCCTCAGCCTGCAGCTTTAGATGAGGTGGGCTTAGTCCCCTGGGTGCTTGAATGTAACTTGATAGTCGGTGGGGAAACTACTGCAGGGGGTAGAGCCCAAGTTGTGGAGGACACAGGCTGCAGGGTCTTGTACTAGCTGCCCCTCAGCTCCCCAGCTGTCAACTGGGGGCTAGTGCTTCACTCCCTCCTAGGGGCAGCTGAAGTCGTGGTCCAAAGTGCAGTGGGGTGGATGTGGGGGCTGGTGCTACTGGAAAAGGAAGAGGTGATCCCTGCACATGCTAGGCAGGGCATCTCATGCTGGGTGGGGGGCAGGGCACATGGTTATACCCCTAAAAAACACACCCAGGACACGTACAGAGAGGTGATGGCCAATGCAATAACTGGAGTGTGCCAACCCTGCCTGCCTCTTCCCCCCCGCCCCCTCTACCACCCCCCCTGCCTGCCTCTTCCCCCCCTTCTACCAGCCCCCCTGCCTGCCTCTTCCCCCCCCACCTTCTACCGGCCCCCTCGCCTGTCTCTTCTCTCCCCTTCCACCAGGCCCTCCCGCCTGCCTCTTCCTCCCTCCGCCTCCCCGGCCTGCCTCTTCCCACCCCACCCCGCTCCCCTGCCGGCCCCTTCCCCCCGCCCCCTTACAGGCTCCCAAGGCTGAGGCTTCCCCGCAGCATCTCCAATAGTCGCTGCGGCGCATGCGCCTGGGACGGGGTCAGACCGGCTCCGGCAGCCCTTGTATTCGACGGACACTAAGACCAAGCCCGAAACCGGGCTTCTGGTTCCGCCTTCGAGCCACGGGGCCAATCCGCGCTTTCCACATTGGAGTACGTCACTGCAGGGCACCCGCGCTATGGAAGGCCCCCCGGCCTTTGGGGCTCGTAGGCGCTGCCTGATCAAAAAGCTGCTGTATTGGGGCTCGGCTGCGGGGAACAGGAGACAGCGACGGGCGGATTAGCCCCGTGCGGGCCAGCAGGGCCCTCTCGGGCCGGCATACGGGACCCCTGCCCCTTCCACTCCCGCTCTTCCTGCCTCGCCTGGTCCGGCAGCGCCGAGGACAGCCCCAGCCCGGGGCCGGCGGGTCTCGGGAGTGCGGCTGTCTCGAGTAGCTTTTATGAGGCCCCCTGCGTCGCCGCTGCTGCCGGCTCCGCTCCGCGATGTGCGCCTGGAAGTGCCGCCTTCCCTGAGCGGGCCCAGCGCCGCTGCCATGGGAGCGAGCGGGGGCGGCCCCCTGCTGCCCGAGCGGCTCCGCCTGCCCGTCTGCTTCCTGGGCGTCTTCGTCTGCTACTTCTACTACGGCATCCTGCAGGAGAGCATGTGAGTGACCCCCCCCCCCCCCCCCCCCCCCCCTCGGCCGGAGGGCCCGCGGGTGATCCCCCCCCCCCCCCCGACTTCTGCCGGAGAGACCGCGAATCACACACACACACCCCAGTCCAGACACTAGCGAGCGCCTTGGTCTGGGTCCTGCATTGACCTGTATTTCTAGATTATACTCGTGTGCGTGGGCGTTTGTGTTTCATTTGTGGGCATGTGCTGAGCTCCCTTCTATGCAAGGCTTGAGGGTGGGAAAGGTGTTCCTGTTTTCCCTAGCCTGGAGCTGCCAGGGAGGATGTACACCTCGAGTACATTATGAGTGACAGCCCCTCCCAGGCCAGGTGCTAGGAGGGCATGTGAGTGACCCCTGCCTAGTGCCCCTTCTGCCCAGGCACTGGGGAGCCGCTCTGCCTGGATCTTGCACCAGAGCATGTAAGAGCCCCCTCCCGATCTGGGCACTGGCAGCCCCCTCCCAGCCTGGGGACCAGGACTATTTATAGCAGAGCATATAAGTGATTCCTACTCCTCTGTATCTGGGTCTTACAGGAGGACGTAAATTGCACCTTTCCACTGTGAAGTCCCCCTCTCCTAGTCTGGGGACCTCCCCCACTTTCTGCACAGTGGCAGAACCTGGACATGTCATCTCTCCTGGGCATCCTACCAGAATGCAAGACATCTCCTTGGGGGAATCCTCAGGATCCTATGTTGTGCTGGAGTGTGACTAGGGTTTGAGAAGCCTCATTCCACTGCAGGCTTAGAGCAAGCACAGCTGAATGGAAGGTGGGGGGGACTGTTTGCTACATGTTTGTGTAAAAAGGTTGGTAGCTGTTGGGCTAAATCACCTGGGAAGAAAGCATGAGTAAATGTGCACCATGCCTTATGCTGCAGTCTCACTCAGTGTACCTCTCACCCTCTCAATCTCCTGTTTAATTCATTTGTTCCTACAGAACTAGAGGTAAATATGGAGAAGGTGCCAAGCAGGAAAAGTTCAAATATGCTTTGTCCTTGGTCTTCATTCAATGTGTGATCAATGCCATCTTTGCCAGGTTAGGTAAGTGTTCCAGAACAGCCAGTATGTCACCCCTTGCTTTTCCGCACCAGGACCTCTTTGAGCCTGACTCCCATCTCACTTCCTTCTCCTCTGGGCTGGGAAGTGACTGTCTTCCAGAGTCATGGGGCCCACCCAGTGGTTACCTGTAGGGCAGGTCACACTCCCGATACCAACGATTGCCTAAATCACAACTTCCAAGGGACTGTGAGCTTTTGTTGAGCACACAGTGGTTTTTCCATTTGTCTGCACAGACATTGCACAACTACTGGCTAACCTGATTTAATGAAGAATTTTATAAATGAAAGACACTCCATAAAACCAGATTCTAAATTCTTTTCATTCAATGTGGTTTTATTGTTGGGAAGAGTCAGAGTAGACTACTAGTATGTCCAAGCTTTTGTCTCCTGTAAGAGGTTCTATACCTATTCCCTTGGTTTTTTTTCATCTTCCTTCTGCCCCACCAGGTTTCAGGAATTCGATATAGCTCCTTTGCCTCAGAGAGCATGTGAGCTGAAAAGATTGAGTGGTTTTGATGATCTGGAGAGTTTATCTCCCCTCTGCTGTAGATACTTTGTGGCTTTTGTATCTCAATGGCATTATAAAATAGCCTTATGATGCCAACGTCCAGTCTCATCAGCCCATGTGTGTTTCTTGTATGTTTTGTCTTCTCCACAGTGATCCAGTTTTTTGACGCCATCAGGGTGGATCGGACCCAGAACTGGCTGTATGCAGCTTGCTCGCTCTCCTATCTGGGTGCTATGGTTTCCAGCAACTCAGCTCTGCAGTTCGTCAACTATCCAACTCAGGTGAAGAAAGGCAGGCAGACGAGTGTGTTGGGGAGAAGGTTGCGTTGTAAAAATTCCCCTTTAGAGATTTGCCTTTTCCCTATTGAGGATTTTTACAAATTCTAATTCTGCACTCTTGGTATGTGGGATGCTCACATGATCCATCAATGCACTGTGACAGGAAACAATTCTAATTAAAGAGTAAGTCACTAAAAAAGATTGACCGTGGAGGATGCTGCAGTTCTGACCCTTGTTGCCCTGCAAGAGTGGCAGGGAAGACGGTATTCTGTTGCTTTTCTTTTTACTCTATCCCTGCAAGGCAAAGTGGTGATAGACTTAGTGATTCCAAGAGGGACCATCCATCCAGAGGGATAACAAACATCCAGTTATAATATGAATTGCTTAAAAAAAAATCTGGGAGAAGGAAAAATCCTCATGTTTCAGGGTTTAAGCCAGTCTTAGAAACCTGCACTGGGGAGGGCTTAGATAATCCTCCATCTGCCTACTGCAGGGTTTCTTGCATCTTCTTTTGAAGGATCTGGTGCTGACGACCATCAGAGACAGGACACTGAACTAGATGGACCCTGGGTCTGATCCAATATGGCAGTTTCTGTGGTCCTCTTGCCCGGTGTGGGGGAGGCTGTAGTATGCAGCTAGTTAAGATACTCTTTCTCTTACAGGTCCTTGGGAAGTCCTGTAAGCCCATTCCAGGTGAGCAGCTACGAAGTTATAGCTTTGTGTGTTTCTCATGCCATGAGCAGGCTATGGATTGCATTCCCAGAAACAGTCCAGCTACTCACCCGATAGCTCCATGCCAACTAGTGCGGATAACAAACTATCTGTGCACTTCCCAATTAGATCCAGAACTGGACACAGAGTCATTAGATTCCTAGCGGAGGGGTTCTGGGAGCACTTTACCAAATCTTCTTTTCTTTTCAGTCATGCTCTTAGGGGTGACGGTGCTGAGGAAGAAATACCCACTAGCCAAATATCTGTGTGTCCTGCTGATAGTCACAGGCGTGGCTCTGTTCATGTACAAACCTAAAAAGGGAGGTGACGGTGAGGACGACCACATCTTTGGCTATGGAGAACTCCTCCTGGTAAGTACTGGGCTGTTGAAGCATAAGTAGTTCCAAGGTTTTGTGTTGGTGAAAGGTACTAGAGGAGAAAACAATTACTGGTGCAGGCTTCTGCCTGGATCTACCCACCATGAGGGATTGGCAAAAAGCCAGCATTAGAATGCTTGGGTAGTGATGATCTTCCCTCTGGTTCAGAGGGACATGCTTGCACACTGCCACGTGGTGATGTAGGGTGAAGCGCTGGCACCTTGTCAGAATGCCCTCTGAACTGTTTTTAAATAAGCAGGTGGAAGCAAGAATCCTATAGAATTTAAATGCTACTCCTGGGGGAATTCTGCACCTCTGCACACACGCAGAATTTATGTCTGCCGTAGATTTCTTTGCTGCCCCACGGAAAAATGACTTTCTGGCAGTAAAGCAAAAAGAAGCCACAAGAGCAGTTATACAACCCTCCCCAGCAGTATGTTTCGGGTGCCCAGGGCAGCTGGCAGAGAGGTAAATCACCTTGGGGTAGGGGGCGGGACTGGGAAAGACCTGGCTGGTGGCTCCTACCCTGCACCAAGCTCAGCTGCTAGTCACGGCTGGGCTGGGGAGGACGGGACTTTCTCTTCCCCTGCACGGTATCCAGGGCTGGGTCAGATCCACCCCCAGATTTCTCCTCCGGCTGCAGGAAGCTCTGTAAACTGCCTTCTCTCTCCTCCCCCTCCCCATGCTTCCTGCACCCATAGCTCTTCAGTTGTAGGGGAGGGATCACTGTACAGGGAGCTGCTCCCACATCCGCCCAACCCGTGTGCATCCAGACCCGCTCATACCCAGACCCTCCTCCCAAGCCTCACCACCCCCACCCCCCTGCACCCAGAACGCGCCCCTCCCCCCGACAAGCCCCATTCTCCCTGCACCTGGACCACCCCAATGAGCCAGCCGGGTCCCCACCCTATTGACCCCCAACCAGTTGCACCTGACCCCGCTCCCACTAAGCTCCCTTCCCCAGCATCTGGACCCCCCCGCTGAGCCCCAACCACCTTCACTTGGACCCCCTATGTAGCCAGTGGCCTGTGCTCCCCGGTGCCATGCTGGAGCTGCCTCATTTATTTGACAAATAAAATATGCAGAATTTTGCAAAATTTTAAAATACTGTGCGCATCATTTTTAATTTTTTGGTGCAGAATGCCCTCAGGAGTAATTCAATGCATGTTCCAGGAAGGGAGTAGCTGGCAGAGAGTTCTCTTCTGGTCTTCTGCAACTTTTTTTTTCCCCCCTTTTCTTAGCTGCTGTCACTGACATTGGATGGACTGACGGGAGTGTCTCAGGACCATATGAGAGCTCATTACCAAACTGGTTCCAATCACATGATGCTAAATGTTAATCTATGGTCCACCTTGTTCCTGGGGGCTGGTAAGGAACATCTGAGGAAGCCATAGCGACCTGGCCTGAAGACTAATTTGTAAGATCCTCTAGGCAGGACCCTTGTCTCTTGTTCTAAAAAGGGCCTAGTATGTCTTGCAGAGCTGCTTTTTGTTTGTTTTAAACCTAATCTGTGGAGATTTTATTGTAGTTTCTTAAATTGCCACCAGTGGACACCGCTTCTCCTAAAGCGCCATTCCCAAAACTGCATTCACATGTCTGAAAAGTTCCTGCTTTCAGGCTGGCTCGGTAGCATCGATTGTAGCTTCCTAGGCTACAATTTGGTGGCTCTCTTGTTTTGGCAAAGACTGGGGTCAGATCAGGCTTCTAAACAGAAGCCTCCTGTTGTGTGTGTGTGAGTGTGTGTGAGAGAGAGAGAGAGAGAGATTGTTGGCGGCTGTCTTTTGAGAATCGGGATACAGAGTGCAAGGTACAGTCTGTTGTCATGAGACACTGACAGTGATGTTTGTTTCATCTGTTCCATTCATAGCTGAGGCCAAGTTCAAAAGTGTAGATGACATCTGGAATGTGAAGGACATGTTCCTTGCTAAGACAACATTCTTACGTTCTGCTGTAGCATCTGATTCCTCTCACTTACCTCCAGGCACCCTTTATGCTGGCTGCAAACACAATGAGTTCAGGCTAAGTGGCTCCAGGACGACAACAATAGTGCACAGAGCTGCAAAACTGAGGCAGCAAAGTGAACTTAACTCCTGGATGTTATGTTATGTTTGTTTAAATCCTGGGATGGGTAGCCAACTTGCTGTTTTCTCTTCCAAAACAACCTATCTGGCATGGTGCACTGACTGAAAGTTCTTTGCCACTGATATTCTCTGGGTGGAGCTTAGTCTTTGCTGTCTGTATCTGTTATCTGACCATAGTGAACGTGAGCTAGGAGTATGAATGCTCTGGCCCTGTCTGCCCAGGATGTCTCTGCCTTGAGTTCATCCTGCTCTCTTTAAACTTTTCTGCAGGTATCTTGTTCACTGGAGAGCTCTGGGAATTCCTGAGTTTTGCTGAACGCTACCCCAGCATCCTCTACAACATCCTGCTATTTGGCCTGACAAGTGCACTGGGTCAGGTAAGTAACTTTCTGGTTCCCTTACCCCAGGCACTTGATGACCAAAGAACATTGAATATTCATTTACTTGTGGGACGGAAATGTGAAGTTGTCTGGTCTTCCTGCCATATCTGACTGTTCCTAGCTCACTGTTCAGCCAGCATTTTCAGATCAAGACTGTCAAGGTTGCGTACAAATTCTTATGTCGTCTTCAGGTTGTGGTTGGGATTTGTTCTTTGCCAAAAGATTCTCTGAAAAGGTTTAAGATGGATCTTTATGTTGGAGATCTTGCCTTCTCAGACAGACTGAATCTCTCTCTCTCTCTCTCTCAGAGTTTCATCTTCATGACTGTGGTATACTTTGGACCCTTAACTTGTTCAATCATCACCACAACCCGCAAATTCTTCACCATTTTAGCATCGGTCATTCTATTTGCCAACCCGATCAGCATGATGCAGTGGGTGGGAACTATCCTGGTATTCATGGGTAAGTCCTGGAAGCCTGGCTTTCTGAAGTCTTTTCCTTATCTGTTAGAGTGGTGGAGTATAGATGGGGGGTGGATGGGTTGACCTAGGATTTTGGACAATGGATTTTCTTGGACAAGCTTGCTGGCAAAACCACTATCTCAGTGTTTTGGGGAGGGGAAGTGGGAGGGATGGGGATATCTTTGAGGCTGTTGCTATGGTCACATATCCAACTGATTTGGGAGACCTTTTTTGGACTCTTTAAAAAGTTTCACAGGTACCTACTGTCTCTGAAGTAATTCGGCATCAGTTAGCATGTGGAGCTATAGAAAGGACTAATTGTACAGGCCTTGGGCTTTCCCTTAGAATTTTTTTCTCATTTCTCTGCAGGTCTTGGACTTGATGCCAAATTTGGGAAGGGATCAAAGAAGACAACACATTAGGAAGACTTTTGAACTCTGCAAAATTGGAATGAACTCTTTAACTTATTGTCCTGTACCTCAGCATCTGTTATGAAACTGGACTCAGGATGGGTGCCTGGGGAAGGGAATGGGTATTGGTTTTTAATTATGAAGTGTTTTAAAATGTGTTAATTTTAATCAAGAGTTTAGCCTTTTTTTTTTCCCCCCTGTAATCAAAATTGCATTGATGGATCCCAGTAGCGGGGAGAAATTCAAGTCTTAATGGGAGAAACACTTCATACCTTTATTAAAGAAAAGGAGAGAAGAGTCAGTTTTCTGACCTTTATTTCAAAGCAGTCTTCTGGTTGTTCTTGGAAAGCCTTGTTCTCTGCAACCTTGCAGCCTTCTCAGCGTGTAGAAATATTACAACTAGCATTCCTCCTCCACCATACTCCAAAGGAAAGTGTCGGTCTTTGTTTCTTCCGTCTGACTTTGGTGCAGTGTAGCAAAAGCCCAGGATTGAGTGACAATATTGAAAAGAGAAATCCCATCTCTCCCTAGGAGAACATGGTTGGTGAAGCAGTGAGAGGGGTTCTAGTTTTCATTAATATACCCAACTTGTACAGCTTGTAATCTTCTCTCCATCAGCACTATTTAAAATAGAAAGAGCAACTTTAGGTATATATAACAAAGTCCTGGGCTCGGCAGTTTTCATCCCATCTGCTTAACCACTTGGGGCCAAATTAATTCTCTTTCATCCCACCCCCTCTGCTGTTGAAGAAACAAGGCCCTCTGCTGCTAAAACCATGCCAAGGTTTTGTGACAGCAGCTTCTAAATGTTGAAAGTGATCTTGTTAATTAACCGGCATCACTGAGAGCTGTGGAACGCCTGCTCCTGAGTGCACAGGCTGTCTCCCAAGTGTTGTAGGGGGAGGAGCTATTAGCATAATGATGCCTTCAAAGTTGGAGAGCAAAATTCTCCAAAGAGCAAACTTTACACATGAAAGCGTGTTTCCACCAGCTGTTGCTTCGTTTCCATCTGTTTTGTGACTTGGCCTCTTGCCCCTCCAGATGGGATCTTGATCGCCTTCCTGAGTGACTGCTGCAAGTCTGTTCTTCCCCACACCCCCTGCAACCTTTCTGGCCACAGCTTGGCTTTCATTAATCTTTTTAATGTCCCATGGCTCTTCCCAAACGACAGGTTTCTTTCAAAATGGAACTTTTTAGGTAAAGATATTAAAGTTCATCTGGAAATTTTTTCCTCCGTCACCAACTCCTCCACACTAGCTTCCTATTTCCTCAAAGTTCGACTGATTAATAGCAAACATGTTCTCTGTAGTGGAGAATCCCTGATTCAACTCTCCTGCTATTTAACTCCATGAGTCCTGTGTTCACCATGAAATGTAGCTTGATGAACTTGATATGCTTGTGTCTGGTCCTACGAATCTAGCTATTCTTAGTCCCTATGTAGACTCTGACATCTCCCATGTAGGTACAGCTTTATCCTCTTAACATCCCATTTCTACAGTTCAAGAAGTGAGCCATAAACTGTGACTTCGTCCATATAGGGAGCCTATGGCAGAGCTAGAAATTGGACTTGGCTCTCCTGATTTTCAGCCTAGTGCCTTAATTACAAGGCCATCCTTCCTCCTTTTAAAGAAGACTAGCACGAGTGGCAGGAGATGGATATGGCCTATGCACTTTGAAGAAACCTATAGCTAAGACTCCATACACTTACGCTGGAGGAAACTAGAGCAGTAGCAAAATTGTTCTAGGTTGGCTCCATGTTCTGATAAAACTGTTTCTTGCACTTGCCCCTTTAAAATTACTGTTTAGATTGGTGCCTGAATTCCTTGTGTAAACGATGCCTTATTCCCACATAGCTCAGGCTCCAATGTAGCTGAAGGGGTTTGTACTGCTAACATAAACAGGGTTTACTGTAGTACTGCTTACTCACCAACCACTGAGCTCAGTACAGCCAGGGCTGACATTCCATCAGACAAACCCAGCACATTTTTAGGATATACAAGACTCAATCTCTTATTAGTAGCGGTGAGTTTATGCCTGGTGTACACTGCAATTCAAAGGGAAATTAGTCAGTTTTACTGTACCTTACCTAGACACCAATTTGTTGTCAGGACAATGGAACATCATCTTTAAAAACAAGGTTTTAAGCATCTTCTGCAAGGTTTTAAGCATTACTCTCCCCAGCCAAACCCTGCAGATAGTTGGATTGCTGGTGTTAAGAAATCTATTTATATGTTGGCTGACTTGTCAGCGTCTGCTGAAGGAGAGTCACAGAAGGATAAGCTGTGCCTAAACTCAGCCTTCTTCAATGTATTTGATTGTCCTGCTATACAGCTGGAAGAGGTTGGAAATGGAAATTGTCTTTAATAAAAGGGTGATTTGGCAGAGGTGCTGACAAATGCATGATTTAGACTGGAAACAAAACAGCAAGTGCAGAACACAGTGAGAGCATCCGGTATCAAGATGACAAGTTAGCAAAGGCCACATCCTCCTCCTCCTCCTCTCTTCTCTGCCTGTTCTGAGATTTGTGTACTAGAGCAGGGGTGGGCAACTTTTTGCCCCAAGGGCCACATCAGGGTTGTGCAACTGTATGGAGGGCTGGGTAGGGAAGGCTGTGCCTCCCCAAACAGCCTGGCCCCCTCCCCCTCCCCCTCCCTGATTGCCCCCCTCAGAACCGCTGTCCCCTATCCACACCCCCACCCCAACAGCCCCCTGGGACTCCCACCCCCTGTCCAACCGCCCTCTGCTTCTCATCCCCTGACCACCCCCCTCCCAGGACCCCCTGTCCCCTGACTGCCCTCCTGACCCCTATCCACAGGCCCCCTGGGACTCCCACTCCCAACCATCCCTGATCCCCATCCCCTGACTGCCCCCCCCAGAACCTCCACCCCATCCAACTGCCCCCTCCTCCCTGACTGCCCCCCAGGATACCCCACTCCCCCCCTCTTACCACCAGTAGTTTGCCCATATCTGTACTAGAGAGGTCTATTTTTATTTTTTTAGAACTAGCAAGTCACCACTAGGGGGCACTCTCATTTCAAGCATGTCAATATTATACATGACTAAAACAGCCCTTTGGTTAATATACTTTAGTTATTTCTAAAGTCTCTGGGCTCACAGCAGAAATAAAATTTGGGAATCAAGGTCTTCCTCCATTATTATTCTATTTGTAGAGTCTCTGACCCCTGAGATGCAATAGTGAAGCTGCGTCATTAAGACCAAATACTGATTCTTCACTACATTTCCAGTATGAGAGCCATTCCATTGTGTGTGTGTATATATATATATATATATATGCACACTTTCATGTTCTCTTGTCATTGTATAAGACAAACAGGTGGCTTCAGTCACAACAGCCGCCACAGGCCTTGCAGTCATTGTTTTTAAAAGCACTTCTAGCAGAATCCGGTTAGGAACCTTGGCAGTTCCTGGGAGATAAGAGTCATGCGCATACACAGAATAAACCGCAGGTTACATTGCTGCAATGTTTGTGTGCAAGGTCCCTCTAGGAGGTACGGGTTGATACAGCTAAGAAAGGTGAAGTTTTATTTTACAGCTGACTGAAACACAGCATCCACAAGGGGAACAGCTTGGCAGCTTTCCTTTTCATCCTTCCCTTCTTTACTCGGGCCCCCTGCAACTCCATCAGCCTTTTGTTTAAATAGTTACTGCTGTAAACTCACAGCAAACAATGTGGTATTGTATGAATATACAGTTCATTAAGGGTATATCTGGCTGAATAGAGTAGATACTTTTTTGGGCACAATACAGTACAGCATTAAATAGTCTAATGACAACTGTTTAATGGATAATGAAGAGATGATTACCTCTGTTTATTAATTGCTATCTTATGGTTGCCATTTTTCAAAAGTGCTTAGTGATTTGGGGATTTATGCACTTATGCTTGGCATCACATTCAACTAAACAGGAGGCTAATTTTTTTTTAAAGGGAATAGTGATTTGGAGTTCCTGATTTTCAGAAAGTACCGAGCACTTGAATTCTGAAAATCAGGCCCCCTTTTCAAGTCTCTCACGTTGAGCACCCAAAACTCACTAGGCACATTTAATAAAAAAAAAAAATACCCTTACATTTATAGCTGAGATGGGGCCAAAACTAGTAGTGACCAAGAGGTCCAACACAAAGAGGGTGATCCTTTCAGGGGCTCTGCAGTAGGTGAAAGAGAATGCTAGTGAGTCCTTGGAGATAAAAGGAAATATGTTTACACACTTATAACATCTGTTTGCCATTTGGTGGTCAAACAACATACTGGTTTTAGTTAATTGGCAGAGTTCTTTCTCTGCACCCCACCTCCCTCATGTGTGTATACAGACTGCAGCAGTTGGGACTAAAATCAGGCTATTTGTGGTCCATAGGAGCAGTTTCAACGCATTGAGGCTCCCATTGGTTCAATCTATGCTCAGCTTATTCTCTGCTAAAATTGTTCTTCCCCTGGCAGAACTCTCATCCTGTCCCTATTCCATTAATCTTTTGCTCCCAAGAGGTTGATCCTTTAACCCTTTCTCTTTTAAGTGACTTGTGGTGTTTACAGCCCCAGTTGTGGACTAGAACCCCATTGTGCTAGGCAATATACGAACAACAAAAAGGAAGTCCTTGCCCCAAAAAGCTTACACTCTTGCAGCTGTGCTATCTGTAAACAAGGTCTATGTTAGGTATTTAGGATGAGGGTCTGCTGTTGTCATCAGTTACCTAACCCTCTACTAACAGTAGAGTGTGCACTCACTGCTTCCATTCCTGACAGTTCCAATACATCATACTTATTCCATTTTTCTTTTTATCTTCTGAATTTCACTGGTGCTTATTTCAGAATCCTTCCCACCTCCAGAGCTGGCAAAATTCTATACCTTTAAAAGGAGCAGCAGTGAGAGAGAGAGAGAAAAAAATTGGCACACAGACAGAAGGTGGAGAGAATGGAATTGTCTCTAATTTACCAAATTTCTTTTGCATATAATTCAGCCGCTTTGCTTTGCAATAAGTGGTTGTGAGATCCATTAAAAAAAAAAATCAAACCAGATTTTTTTAGGCAAGTTTTTCCTAGCTGAAGATCAGGTTAGCTTTTCAGCTACCAAGTGGCTTGAGAGTTAAACAAATTAAGTTATGTGTTGGTTCCCATTGTTCTATCAAACCGCATCCTCACCACCGTGCTACTGGGATACTGGATGGAACTCCCTTTGGACTCTCTCTGTGTTGACACTTAAGAGTGATGTGATGCAAAGTACTTCCTCCTCAGAAGGTGTAAATGAATTGCTGATCCAAGAAATATGAGACTGGGAACTGCTACCAAATGTAGTTATCCCCTATGGCTCT